GGAAAGAAAGGAGAATGGAAGGAGAGAGAGGAGAAGAGAAAAGAAGGAGGGAGAGATGGAAGAAAAGAGAATGAAAGGAGAGGAGAGAAGAGAAGAGAAAAGGAGGGAAAGAAAGAATGGAAGGAGAGAGAAGAGAAGAGAAAACAAGGAGGGAGAGATGGAAGAAAAGAGAATGAAAGGAGAGAGAGGAGAGAAGAGAAGATAAAAGAAGGAGGGAAAGAAAGGAGAATGGAAGGAGAGAGAAGAGAAGAGAAAAGAAGGAGGGAGAGATGGAAGAAAGGAGAAATAGACCGATTGGTAGGTGTGCAGGTAGGCAGGCAGATAGATGCTGGATAGGTAGAGAGACAGAGATACAATGGTAGGTAAGCAGATGGAGAGATGAGGCAGATAATGAGAGGGAGAGAGGGAGGGAGAGAGGGAGGGAGAGAATTATACATACACACAAATCAGTGGTGGGATTCCATTTTTTTTACTACCGGTTCTGTGGGCGTGGCTTGGTGAGTGTGGCAGGGGAAGGATACTATAAAATCTCCAGTCAGAGGTGGGATTTGCCGGTTCTCTGAACTACTCAAAATTTCCACTACCGGTTCTCCAGAACTGTCAGAACCTGCTGAATAACCACCTCTGACACAAATACACATACAGCCGGGGAAGTATGTTCAGAGTTTTGCAGCGTTAATTCAGCGCCCGAAAAATAAACACAGATGACTGATGCTTCATTTCACATCTTTATAAACATAATCAGTAGATTTTACAAACCAGTTGTAGATTTCTCCAACATGGAGCAAACTCAGACAGAAACATGTTGCAAGTGCAGAGCAGAAACAGAGATCAGTTTCACTTTAGTTCAACAGGCAGGCAAGAGGAGAGAAGCAGTTTTATTTTCAATAGACAGACTCAGAGCTCAACATAGCTGCAGAGCTTAATATTGAGCAGTGGTGGCTAACCTTTTTTGGCTCCCGTACCGATAATTGCGCATTCGCTTGCGCGGGCTTGTTTACCAGCACTCAGAAGGCAATGTATGCTGGGACCCCCATGCCATCTACGCATGCGTGCGCGACCTCCCCTCTCGCGCTGCACATCTGCACATGCATTCACAATTCCCCCTTGCGCGCCGCATGTCTGCACATGCGCGTGCAATTCCCCCCTCATGCGCTGTGCATCTTTGCGCATGTGTGTGCAACTCCCTCCTAGTGCACAGCGTGTCTGCGCATGTGTGCGCTTCCCCCCTCACATGTAGCACATCTGTGCATGTGCACGCAATCCCCTCACATGCAGCACGTCCACCCCCCCTCCGCTCCCTGCGCATGTGCACCAGATACCCAACAATCAGTTGTCAGGCAGCGGCACGTGCACGCATGCGCAGTGGGGCTCTTCTGGACGTCCTCTTGCGTGCTCAGGGAAATGGCTCTGTGTGCTACTTCCGGCACGCATGGCATAGTTTCGCCAACACGGATATAGAACCATGCCTAAGCCACTTCTTCTTTCAGTTTCCAAATTGTCCTCCTTGGCTGACTTTGTTAACATACTCTAGTCCAGTGGTGGCTAACCTTTTTGGGATCCTTGCCAAAAATTGTGCATGCACTTGCATATGCATGCTTGCATGCCAGCACCCAGCAGGCAATGTGCCCCCACACCCCTTGCGCATGCACACATAATCCCCCCCCGGCTGGCCCCTTACCTGCACTGCACCTCACAGCTGATTTTCAGTCGATTTGGGGCCTTTTTTGGCCTCCCAGAGGCTTGAAAAAAACCTCTGCAGGCTTTGCAGGATGAATAATAGGCCTGTTTCATCACTTCCGCTATTACAGGAAGTGACAAAATGGATCTATTATTTGGCCTGCAAAGCCTGCAGACCCTTTTTTCAAGCCTCTGGGAAGCCGAAAAAGGCCTCAAATCGGCCGAAAATCAACTGCGAGGCATGCGCATGTGCAGTGAGGTAAGTTTGCCTGCGGCTTGCGTGCCAGCACAAATGGCTCTGTGTGCCACCTGTGGCACATGTGCCATAGGTTCGCCATCATGGCTCTAGTCTATTCCACTTCATGAATATACTCCGGCAAAGTTGGCTACAATAAGTTCTTTAGGCATCTTTATAAATTATTATTATTATTATTTAAATTCATATCCTGATCATCTCACTACCCAAAGTCCCTCTGTAATAAATTATTATAGATGAAAGATGCGCATGTTCTAATTCAGTAGGAAACTGAAACTTCTGCATAACTTCGTTCTGTGAAATGTAGACTGTCGTACATACATACACACACACACAGACACACACACACAGACACACACAAACACACACAACACATAAATATACATACATACAGGTAGTCCTTGACTTACGACAAGGGAGCCGAAAATGTTTGTTGCTAAGTGAGACATTTTGCCCCATTTTATGACCTTTCTTGCCACAGTTGTGAAGAGAATCACTGCGGTTGTTAAGTTAGTCACCTGGTTGTTCAGTGAATCTGGATTCCCCCCATTCCCTTTGCTTGTCAGAAGGTCACCAATGGGGATCCTGTGATCCCCGAGGACGCCGAAACCGTCATAAATATGAACCAATTGCCAAGCATCCAGATGTTGATCAAGTGACATACGAATTGCACATCCAGGTAGCCAGCAATGGTTGTAAATGTGAAAATCACATTTTTTGATGCCTTTGTAACTTCAGTCACTAAATGAACTGTTGTAAGTCGAGGACTTCCTGTACACATAATTGCATCCAATAGGAGGTTTATGTAAGAAAATAATAAAAGGGAGGGTTAGGATAGCAGACACTTTGCCCAGCAAATGGCCGAAAAGCTGGATTGATAGCTACTGGGTTGGGCTTGGCCATCTTTTTCTTCCTCATCCTCCTCTTTGTCCTTTTCAACAGCCAACTGGAAGCCCCCTGCCAAAGACAGCGCTGACCAGCCATGGGGGTCTGTGTTCGAGTTCAACACTCCCAGGGGACACGTTTAACTCCAGCGTTGAAGCCTCTTCCTCCGTTTCCTCTGACTCAGGCGAGGGAGTTGCGGTAGGTTAACCCAATACAGTGCCAAAGGCAGGGCCCTATGAATCTTGTGTACAGGTAGTCCTCGAGTTATGTAGGTTCATTTAATGACCATTCCCAGTTGCAATGGCACTGAAAAAAAGGGACTTATGACCATTTTTCACCGTTACAGGAGGATCCCCAGAGTGACGTGATCACAATTCAGGTGGCGATTGGTTATTATTTACGACAGTTGCCTTGTCCCCTGTCAACTCATAAAATATTTCTATGGTCTTTTTACAGTTGCCAGCAGAAAGGGAGGGGAGAGCAATGGGGCAGCTTGCAAACCGAAAGTGCATTCCATAAATTTTTTCAAATATAGTAACTAGGTGACGGAAGTTTCTGCCATGCAAAATTCTAACTGGAGAGCAAGATTGATGACTCTGGGCTATGGATGTGTCCCATTGGAGGCTATGAATTATGATACACTCAGGGGTTGGGGCAAAACCAGGGTCAAGGGTGACAATGAATGATGTGTCTCAGAGTCAGCTTCACCCAGGCAGTGCCAGACAGGATAACTCTCAATAAATCCTTCTGAAGTTTTGGAATTTTGGCTCCAGAGTCCAGACTCATGATTTAAATCGGGGTAACTGCCGGAATCCTAACAGTTCCCAGGTTACGTGATCCTCTTTTGTGACCTTTTGACAAGCACAGCCAATGGGGAAACCAGATTCATTTAACAACCACATTATTAATTTAACGACTGCAGGGATTCACTTAACATCTGTGGCAAGAAAGGGGCAACACTCAACAAATTTCTCACTTAGCAACATAAATTTCGGGCTCCATTGCGGGTGTAAGTCAAGTCTTTGACTTATGATGATTCATTTAGTGACTTCTGAAGTTACAACGGCACTGAAAAAAAAAGGTGACTTATGGCCGTTTTGTACATTTACGAGTGTTTTACCATCCCCGCGGTCATGCGATCACAATTCAGACTTTGCTTGGCAACTGGCTCATATTTACGACGGTCTCAATGTCCCCTTTTGCGACCTTTCTCAACGGAGAAGCCAGATTCACTTCACAATCATGTCACTCACTTTAATGACTGCAGGGATTCACTTAACAACTGTGCCAAGAAATGTTGTCAAATGCACCGTCCCACTGACATGTTTTTACGACGATATACCTGGGGTCATATGATTGCTGCAACCTTCCCAGGGGTGGGCTTCAAAAATTTTAGCAACCGGTTCTCTTCCCAGTTGCTGGGTGGGTGTGGCCATGGTGGGCGTGGCCTAGTCAGCCTCCTGCATCACGCTGGGAGGGGTAGTGCGTTTTCGCCTCCCTGAGCTCCGGAGGCTTTCCTCGAGCCTCTGGGAGGGCAAAGATGGCCTCCCCGGGCTCCGGAGGCTCTGTGGAGGCCAGAGATGTGCCTGTTTTTGGCATTCTGGAGCCACCGGGAGGCATGTTTATTGCCCTCTCTGAGCCTCTGCGCAGGCCCTGCACTTACCTCACATACAAAACATGCCGCGTAGGGACTCCTGGGAGGGTTGGGGTGGGCGGGGCCAGCCCAAGGTGGGATTTGCCAGTTCACTGAACTGGCCATAAAATTAGCTACCAGTTAGCTATGGGTTTACCCAAATTGGGGAGAACCAATAGTAGCCCAGCCCTGAACTTTCCCAACTGGCTTCCGACAAGCAACGTCGGTGGGCGAAACCGCATTCACTTAACAACTGTGATGGTTTCCTTAACCGTGGCAAGAAAAGGTCATAAAATTGTGTGCCATTTTCTTTAACAACCGCAGCGGTGGGATTCTACCAGTTCTCACCTAGTTGCTAGAACCGGTTGTTAACATTCTAAGCAGTTCGGAGAACTGTTAGAAGAAATTACTGGCCTAATCCTGTAAGGAAAGCAGGAAGGAAACATTCTGGTGTTGCTTACGGAAAGTGCCTCTCCATTAACCCTTATTACATTCTTGGCAGGACTAGACTTCCTGTCTCAGGAACGTCTCTGGAGTTTTTCACCCCTCCTTTGCTTGTGTGGAGTGACCATTCAAAGTTACAATGGCACTGAAAAAAAGTGACTTATGGCCCTTTTTCACACTTATGACTGTTGCAGCATCCTCACAGTCATGAGAGGCTAGGCAAGGAGATGCGTGCCTTGATGTTGGCCACGCCCAGCCAATAACATGATCAAGCTATGACCACCAAGCCACGCCCATCACCTAAGCCATGCCCACAGAACCAGTTGTTAAAAAGTTAGAATCCCACCCCTGAACTACCGCTTTAGTTAACAACAGAAATGTTGGTCCTGACCATGGTCTTAAGTTGAGGATTGACTGTATTGGCTTGGGGACGCAGGTGCACTGGGCGTGACTCACCCTTTTCTCTTCTCCGTTCGCCTAGTCTGCCAAGGCTGCCAAAGGGGTCCCCATGGCCCCTCCGCAAGAGCCCCCCTCAGCCCCTGCCCAGGGCACCGTCCTTCATTTCCTGACCCGCCTGCGCCGTCACGCTAGCCTGGAAGGAGCGAGTCCCTATTTCAGAATCAAGAAGTGGAAGCTGGAAACCAGCCAGCGGGCATCCAGTCTAGACATGAGAGGTGGGTGACTTTGCTGGGGTTTGAGGGGTGGGCGGTTGATGGCATCCCTAAATTTGAAAGTCAAGAGTCCTAATACCGAATGCCGTGTTTCCCAAGCTTGGCAACTTGAAGATGGGTGGACTTCAACTCCCAGAATTCCCCAGCCGGCATACGTGGGGAGGGAATGGGATTTTGGAGTAACCTTTCTGTCAACTCATAAAATATTTCTGTGGTCTTTTTAGAGTTGCCAACAGAAAGGAAGGGGGGAGCAGTGCAGCAGCTTGCAAAACCGAAAGTGCATTCCATAAATGTTTTCAAAGATAGTAACTAGGTGACTGAAGCTTCTGCCCTGCAAAATTCTAACTGGAGAGTATGATAGATGACTCTTGGCTATGGATGTGTCCCATTGGAGAATATGAATTACGATACACCCAGGGGGTGGAGGAAAAACCAGGGTCAAGAATGACAATGAATGATGTGTCTCAGAGTCAGCTACACCCAGGCAGTGCCAGCATGTTTACCCCTAATAAATCCTTTTTTAAGTTTTGGAAGTTTGGCTCAAGACTCATGATTTAAATGGTGCCGGTGCCCTGACACTTTCCCCTGGAGTGGGGTGGGATTGAGGATTTTACAGTATCCTTCCCCTGCCACGCCCGCCAAGCCACACCAAGCCCACAGAACTGGTAGTAAAAATATTTGAATCCCACCCCTGGGTTGTGGGGCACCTATAATTTGCTGCGGCTGCCCCCTTCACCAGCAGCAACTCAGCTTGTAGGTTATGGGTACGACAGGGAGGACGGAGGGTGAGTGCCACCCCAGGGGGTGGTGTGTCCTAGGCGGCGGGGGTTCACGTTGCAACCACGAGTCACCAATCAGATAGTCCTGATCCCAGCCCTACTGGAGAGAGAAGCTCGGCCGCTGATTCGGTGTTTCCGGTGCAGGCAACTGGGCCCCTGCGCTCGGACCGTTGAGACCATGTCTGTGTTATAGGGGTTCTCATAAGGAGGGGACAGATTTTTCTGCCTCTGTTTTCCAAAAATACCGAAACCAGTTTCGGAAAAAAAGCAGGACTCCTGCCTACGTTCCAGCTCCCATCTCTTCCTTCCCTCCCTTCAGGGTCCCCCAAGCGTCACCAGTTCCAGCGACAGCGAGCCGCAAGCGAAAGCATGGACCAAGATCGCGATCCTCACCAGACGGACATTATCCAGTATATTGCCCGGACGGACGATGTGGTTTTCCGGCCCGTGGCTGGACCGTTCTTGCCTGCTCCGGCCAGTCCAACATTATCTCTCGGCAGGTATTTTTCAGTAGATAAGTGGGAAGGGGAGGATGGAAGGCCCAGAGAATAAGAGCCGGATCGAGATGCCTTTGGGCAGCTCCAGAGTGGAAAAACAAAATCAGAATGGAAGTTGCAGGAAGTCTTCGACTTTGGGATCGGAATTTCTGTTGCTAAGTGAGGTGTTATAAAAGTAATATTGGTAGTCCTCAACTTACGACCACAATTGAGCCCAAAATTGATGTTGTTATGTGAGAAATTTGTTAAGTGGTTTTTGTCGCATTGGATGACCTTTCTTGCCACAGTTGTTAAGTGAACCACTGCAGTTTTTAAATTAATAACACGGTTGTTAAGTGAATCTGGCTTCCCCACTGACTTTTGCTTGTCAGAAAGTCACAAAAAGCAACTACGGGACTCCTTGACACTGCAGCCGTCGTAAGTGTGAGTTCAGTTGTCAAGCATTCAAATGTAAATCATCGTGATCATGGGGATGCTAAAACGGCTGTAAGTGTGAAAAACGGACATAAGTCACTTTTTTCAGTAATGAAACTGATTGGTCACTAAATGAACGGTTGTAAGTCGAGGACTACCTGTAATAAATAGAGCAACTGTTGATAAGTGAGTTTTGCACCCAATTTTTTGGCCATTTTTGCACGGTGGTTAAGTGGATCACTGCAGTTAAGTGAATCACCTGGTCATTAAGCAAATCTGGCCTTCCACATTGAGTTTGCTCGTTGAAAACTGGCTGGGAAGGTTGCAAATGGTGATCACATGATCCCAGGACACTACAACCATTGTAAATATGTTTACCGTGTGGTAAGATGGATGACCAATGAATAGATAGACAGACAGACAGACAGACGGTTGGATGGATGGATGGATGGAGGGATGGATGATAGAGATTGATAGATGATAGCTAGATAGCCAATAGATGATAGCGGTAGCTAGATAGATGGATGGAGGGTTGGACGGATGGATGATAGAGATCGATAGATCGATAGATAGATAGATGATAGAGATAGATAGTTAATTTGGATAGATAGATAATAGATATAGAGATGATAGAGATAG